CAATCTAATGGGGAGAGTTTAGACAATATGGGAATCATGTGTGTTCCGAGCAAGACCTTCTGTCCCTTTTCGAAAGGTTGCAAATTGGCACATTTGGTTTTTCACAGAAAGAGAGTGGAGCCAAAAGTGTTGCCATGGCAACAACACAGAAGGTGTCATTCTGTTTCTTTAGTGGTGCACATTTGTGGTGCCAAGTTTGAAGAACACTGCTCCAATATTTCTAGAGATATTCTTGATTCAGTGTTTTACTTTTCAAGTGGAACCACCTATGACGTCATCACTTTCCTCATTTGCATAATACAAAAACATAAATATCTCTAGAACGAAAAAAGATATTCCAAAAAGGGAAACGCCATTCTTCTTTACTTTGAAAAGCCTTTCAAATAAGCAGCAATTATTTTCTACTTCATAGGCACTTTAAGACTAAATGTACATCATGAAATATACATCACATTATTAAAGCCAAGCTTTCCAGTGTAAAAAGTGGTTCTCTACTTACTTGCCGCAGTATTTTTGGTCCCGACAGCGGCTGCAGGATTTCAAGTCAGTCTCCTTAACTTTCTTGATGCAAGCCATGTTGCCACACCTTACAGGCTGCCATACATTGGAAAATAGGTGGTAGTGTGCAGTCATCAAGTCTTTCAGTGGGTGATTGAACGGACCAAAGAAAGGAAGTCTCTTTTCTTCTGCATCTTGGCCAAGTTCATAGTACTTTTTGAACTCAGTCATGTCGGTAGCAAGCTTTGCAAGATAATAACAAGCATTTGGGTAGTTTTTACTACACTTTGGAGCCTCTTCCAGATACTCCTGCAACACTTTCACTGCAGAATCTCTCAATTTGTCGGTAGTCCAAGAAGCATATTTTGACTTTTCTCTGTCATTTGGTCTTTTTTTATTAGGAGGCAATTCCTCTTCTACACCTTGACGGCATTTCACGGTTTTAGAGGTGTAAAGATCCATTAAGTTATACCCAAGTCCCCTTTTGGAATCGCAATAAGATGGGCAGCATTTAATGGAATTCTCAAAAGCTTCAGCAGCTTCTTCAGTAGCTTCTTCAATGGTGTAAATTGCTGCCATGTGGTAATACAAAACATGAAGCCAGCTGCTGTAATTCTTATCAAACTCAAAGGGATCAACTGAAGGAGGGCTATCAGGTTCAGCCTTTTGAATAAAGCGAATTAAGTTCATCACGCATGCAAGTGCTTTTCTATCATTTTTGAAACTTTTCATGGAAACCTTTCCTCCTGATTCATAATGACGCAAAGCAAGAGACAAAAGAAGTCCTTCAAAAAAACAATAATTTTTGCACAAATTTTCCTCACAAAGCTTCAGAATGTGAGGTGACAGTGAACCTTTAATATCAGGAAATGCTTGTAGTATAGAATTTTCAGTCAAGTATCCATGAGCTATAAAAGAGACTCCTCTTTCATCAGTAAAGTTACTTTTGCAAAGAACTTCAAGGCCTTGCTTCACAAGTTTATAAGCTTGAAGGTAAATTTTTGCTGTTGGGGACCACTCATACTGTCTTAGCATTTCTTCTGAAAAAGTCACAGGTTGAGAAATCACAAATGGGTGTTTATTTTCCTCTGCTCTCCGACTCGATTTCTCGTTCATGATTTCAATTGATTGCACAAGGGCCTCCTTGCTGACTTCTGAAGCATCATGCTGCTTATCATCACACTGTTTGCACTGCTGAAGAAGCTGGGAAAAAAAATGCACTGAACTGAATAATGTGCAAAGGTCACATTTCAGGATTCAACAGGATCCAGCAGTTTGAAGGTTGGTCTGTGTCTGTGCCGCTTTCCATTCATAACATAAATACATAAATAGGTTCCCCCAGACTGTCTGCATGGTAAACTGACAAAATTGCTGTGGAAGTGGTGGGCAAGGAGGAAGGGAGGGGCCCGTCCTTATCCCGGTTTATGCAGGAGAAAGTGACTAGGAGTATTTCTACTCCCCAATGGATGGGATGCTAGTCCATCGCAGGGTTACCCCCAGCATTACGGGTGGAGAGAGGCACTGTGAGAGTAAAGTGTCTTGCCCAAGAACACAACACATTATGTCCCTGGCCAGAGCTTGAACCCGAACAGCTTGATTTGGAGCTGACCACAATAACCAAGAGGCCACCGTGCCTCCACGCTGACCTTCTATAGTTCACTATAAAAAACATTATGCACTGCTCACCTGTTTCGCCATGACATCACCACTAGCAGCAGCTTTTCCCAACCATCGCTTTGCCTTTTTAACATCTTTGATTTGCTCACAACTTCCAGTCAAATATATTTGTCCCAGCTTCAATTGGGCCTCAGTATCGCCCAATTCAGCCGCTCTGGTCAAATAATGAACAGCTTTGGTCGGTTGTGGTCGGCCCTCTGGGCAATCCCCATTAAGATAGTACTTTTGCAAAAGTCTCAAAGCATCCAGTCTTGTCTCACCGGGTCCGTTTCCCACTCTTTTCATTGTTCCAACAATATATCGATCAATTCCTCCATAACCCGTGGTTGCCTCAGATTCACTCTCATCAGCGGCTTTTTTGTACCATTCAAATGCTTCTTTGATGTCTTCGTTTACAACGCCTTCGACGCCACATCGATACATTTCTGCTAAATTGAGCTGTGATTCGGCGCATCCTAAGTTTGCAGCCCTTTGATACATCTCGTACGCTTTTCGCTGGTACTGTGGCGTTCCTGTTAGATCCAGTAATTCACCAAGTCTTGTAAAGATCAAAGGATGAACACAACCATTTTCCACAGCGGAGTTTAACCATCCAGTTGCCTTCTCCATGTCCTTCTCGACAAAATTCCGAATTCCTTGAGAGTAAGCCATGCCAAGGTCGCTTTGGGCAGTAACATTACCATTCTTGGACAAAGAAATCAAATTTTCGATTGTGCCATACGAATCTTTGTAATATTTTTCCACATTAACACCAGCTTTAGGAGAAAAATCCATGACCGTTTACACCGAAATGAACGTTTACTGAAATTAAATGAAAATGGCATTCGAAGTTTGTTATCCGCTGATAGGTACGGTGGGCTCGTATAGTTAAAACTCCCCTCCCTGCCCCACAAAAAACTGCATGTAGTTTCATCGTGCGTGCGAGTTGACTCGAACCGCGCGCCTGGACGCGACGTGCGCGGTTTGCGTGAACTAGGCTGAAAAGAACTCTGGGACAGGATTGTCTGAAAGGAAAATGGCGGCCAGTGATCCGGGCGTTTTATCCCAAAGAGGGTAAGTTGCTTTATTTAGACTGTGAATCTCTGGTTTCTATCACCTGCAGCAAAGCTGAAACGCTTCAGTTTTCTCTTCTTCCGAAACTGGTCGCTATTAGAGAAACGGGAGAGAAAGGAAGGACGATTCGTTCTACGAGTGAGATTAAATTCAACTTGATCAGTTCAAGCGATACATGTAATTTGTAAAACTGAGCTTACTCGCTTCAGCTTCCTAATGCTGCCTTTTAGTTCGCAGTATGTTAGAACCAGTTGATATCATGTAGTCCAGATCATCAGCAGTAAGATCGGTTTTAATGTTATTTACTTGTTCGTTTTTTCTTCCTTCACCGATCTATGTGCATATTTTCTTAGTTCTGAAAAATAAACTTATGGTTTACATAGCAATTAACAGTCTTAGGAGAATTAAGTTTATAGCCCTTTAGTATCCTGTAGACTGTAAGGCTGACTATAGAGAAGTTGAATTTGCTTAGGCGATTTAATTGGATTCGACAAAGCTCTCAAAACTATGTATTTTTTAGCACACACCCTGTACATGTAATTGCAAGAAATGTTTTGTGATCATGGCAGTCCATAGCAGCACAGGAACACTGCTATTAGTACATGTAATTGCTTCATTCTCCAGCTTTACATGCTTGTTATTTCAGTCAGTAGGATGCAAAAACGTCTCTTTTATTCATTGTTTTGTTTTGTCTCTTTGTTTGTCCTTTAGGAATGAAGTAATCTTAGATCTACAAAAGTTTCAAATTCAGCCCATGGATACAGTCAATCCTGACCAGCTGCAGCTGTTAATTTTGTCAGCTAGCTCTGACACCAGCATTGAAAGGACACCCTGTGAATCTGAAAATGTGTCAGCAATTGAAGTTGAGACCGTGATGATGGCTGAAGATGCGGGCATACTTGTTCCAGGTGATAGCACACCCTTGTTAAAGACTGTTCATGACAACAGTTCATCCAAGAAAGACTCCGCAGGTGACAAGCAGTTTAAATGTCTCCAGTGCAACAAATCCTTTTCAGGGCCATCAAGTCTTAGTCGGCATATTAAAACCCACAGCAACGAGAAGCCTTTTGAGTGTGTTCAATGCAAAAAAGTGTTTTCCCGACTGTCGAGTTTAAAGAGGCATGAAAGTTCTCATTCAGATGAAAAACCATTTAAATGCCAAGTATGTGGCTGGAGTTTTATACAGAACTCAGATCTGAAAATCCACGAAAGAACTCACACAGGTGAAAAACCATTTCCGTGTGATCGCTGTGAACGAGCATTTGGATGCAAGAAGCGGCTAAGGGCTCACTACAGGATGCACACAGGAGAGAAGCCATACAAATGTCCACAGTGTGAAAAGTGCTTTTCAATGAGAAAAAATGTCATCCAGCACATTCGAATACACACTGGTGAAAGACCATTCATGTGTGAAGTGTGCAAGAAGACATACCGTCATCAGCACACGCTTAAGAAGCACATGCGACTTCACACAGCTAGACCAGATTTTACCTCATCAAGGTTAGTATAGTAAGCTTGTTCAGGTTTACACTGTAACATTTGTGTTAGACAACCTTTTGTATATTTTGTTTGGCCTTTCTAGGGTTTTGTTAAGGGCTAGGAACAAAGGGAAATTTGACTAACTTTGAACCTCTCTTTGCCTGGTGACTTTCAACAAAGATATTGACCAAGATTTTTTTTAGTTTTATTATCTTTTACCCAGGTGCACCATTTTTGTGGTCCTCTGCAAAAACTGTTGAAAAAACCTCGTCTTTCAACCCTTTCAACCCTAATCTTTTAGAGTATTTAGGAAGGGAATTCAGTTAGTTATAATTAAATGGATGGCATATTTTTAATTATTGCCTTTGCTTTTAGTGACAAGGCGCTCAGTGACCAGTCAAGTGCCTGGCCTCGCAAGAAAAACAAAACGAAAGTGACGCAAAGGAAGTCTGTTTCCTCAAGCAGGTACAGTTCAAAATTTGTTCCAGACACGAGACTGTCCAATTCTTGATTTGACTCTATTGTGAAATTCTAAGTTGGAGTTCACTGTGATTGGCCACATCCTTTGTTGGTAAATGAGTACAGTGTAGCTGAAAGGAGCAGAAATTGATAGCAAAGCATATATTATAATGCAGTAAATGCAATTTAACAGAAGTTAACAACAAGGAGCGCAATTCTTGCCTTTGCGGTCAGCGGCATTTATATCTGTGCATGAGCCAGGACTCCATGTGTTCTTGGGCCACAAGGCATTGTAGTTTTGCATTGAGTCAGGGTTTTCCATGAGCATTACAGTTTCAAGCATGGGGATTCTTCTCAGAGGTTGTTTCCCCTCCCCTGTCCCTCCCTTCTCTTTCCACTGTCTTTATCAGTGTTATGGGTGCCTGCTTTTCTCCCTTCTGCATGGGGGCTCATGGCTGGGTTGCCAGTCATGGGTGCAGTCTTCATCTACATGTAGGAGCTGGCTGCCAATAGTGGAAGCTCCTGGATACCCCAGGCACCCAACCTCCACTTTGCAAGGCAGTAACTCAGTGTTGTTAATGCATTGATAAGACAAATTACCATCCCAATTTGTTTCTCTGGGCATATAAAAATATAACATTGGTTACCGGTACATACATCCCTAACAAGGATAGAAGTTAATGCTTGCCCACCCCCACCAGAGCTGTAATTAAGGGCTGTAACCTGTAACACTTGTTACATCTAAGTATGTGTGATACTAAGGCACTTGACGTTACAGGTGAAATTGCTTTTGTTGATACAATTCGCCCACTAAGTAACAGTTTTGTTACTGGTGTGCAGATCAAGGCAACAGGTGACTGAAAACCTATTGACAGCCTTGCCCACTGTTACTGTGTTTGAGGCTAAGATCATTAGCTTTAACCTAATTATTTGCATGCTGGACTAGGGTCATTGTATTGCGTGACCCTTGGGCAAAGCACTTTACTCTCACAGTGCACCTCCATCCAGGTGTATTTCTGGGTGGGATCTGGATAATTGAATGCTGGGGTTTAACCCTCCCCTATCGAATTAAAGGTAGAGATACTTGATACTTAATGCTATGGAACCAGGACGCTCTATGCTCTAGCAGTATGGGGTCACTTGGACCAACTTTCCAGGTTTACTACAAAAATACAAAAATTATACTTTTTTTTACTTGTGACGTGAAACTACCTCAGCTTATAGTGTACATTCTGAGGGTTTTTGTTTGGTTAAATACAAATGCTCTAACCTTTGAGAGTGTTTAGAGTTCTTTTTCTCTGGCCAGCAGAAAGGAAGACAGTGAAAGATTAGTTGCAACACCTGATGAGCAAAATCAAACTTCGGCAGATGATAATTCAGATGTCCACTGCAGGTACATAACAAATACGTTAAATAGCAAGAGCAGTGATCAGTCTAGACAAATAGCTTGTTTTGTTTCAAATCTAACTGATTCTCTTATTTATCCCTTTAAACTTTATTTAAAGTACAGCTTTGATCTTTTGGGTTCACTTTGGATATTGGTAGGAAAATGTATGTAGCTGGTAAAGTCTGCATACAAGCTAAGTGGCCAGTTGAAGCAACTAGGAACTCTTATTTCTATTCCCTCTCGATGGGATGCTAGTCCATCACAGGGTTACCCCCAGCATTAAGTTTGC